CAAACGAAAACGAAAACGCACCGCTCTTCTCGATCTTCTTTGCAAGCACCATCCACAGGTCCACCTCCGCCTTATCGGCGTCTTGCAAGACATGTCGCAGAACTCGGCCCAGCACCCGACAGTCGCGACTCCTCTCCGTCCGGCGCGCACAGCCAATCAGATCCACCACCAAACCCGGCAGCGCACCGCCGCCAACGAGCGGCCTGTCGTTCGTAACCGCAGCAAGCAGCCGCGGGCGCCAGCCATCCTCGACCGACACCGTGAGGAGATACGTCGCAAGCTGCTGCGCGCGCGCCCCGAGCGCCGCAAGCGCCGCCCCATCCAGCGCGGGCGCCGCCGCGTCAAACACGGCGCTCGGCGCGGCGGGCACCGCGAGGTGGTCCTCCGCGTACAGCGCGAGCGCGAGCACGTGCCGCAGCGCCCACACGTGCTCCTTCGCCGCGCGGCGGTCGGCCGCGAGCGCGCGCAGCAGCGCGGCGACGATGCGCGCGTACGCGGCGTACCCGCGCGTGTCGTGCGCCGGCGCGCGCTTTGGCGTCCGGAGCGCCGAGGCGGGCGGGAGGTGCGGGTGCAGCACCGCGAGGCTCGCGGCGGGCGGGTCGGCGGGCAGCGCGTCGAGCATCGCGTCGAGGTCCGCGCGCGAGGGGAACACGGCGGTGACGACGTCGATCGGCGCGCCGAGCGTGCCCTCCGCGAGCGCGTCGAGGATGTCCTCCGGGCTGTGTCGCGTCAGCGTCGGCGCGAAAGAAAGGCGAGAAAAACACGCACGTGACACACACATCCGTGCTGCACACCATCACGCGCAGCCGGCGCGCCACCTCCGCGTGCACCTCCGCGCGCCTGCGGGCGTCCCCAGCCTCGCACCACCGCGCCCACATCCCACGCGCGGCGCCCACCGCCCCCGCCCCCGCCTCGCGCTCCTCCGGCGCATACGCGCGCGGCAGCACGTGCGCGAGCACATACACCGCAGGGAACAGCGCCCCCTCCACCTCGCCCGCGCCCGCGCCCACCACGCCCCCAAGCAGCTGCACATCCGCATCAAACGCGCGCAGCGGCACGCGCCCCTCCGCGTCCGCGGCCCCCAGCGCCGCCTCCACGCGCCCCGCAAACGCCTCCACAACCCTGGCGCGCGCCGCGCGCCCCGCGGCGGGCGAGAGGAAGAGCGCGCCGCGCCGCAGCACCTGCGCGAGCACCGGCACGGGCACGGGCGCGGGCGCGGGCGCCGCGAAGAGCGCGTCGAGCGGGCCGCCCACGGCCGCAAGCCCCGCGAGCTCGGCGCCTGCGAGCGCGCCCAGCGCGTCGCCCGCGGCCTCGGGGTGCGCCGCGACGTCCGCGAGGAGCGCGCTGTACAGCGTCTGCCGGCGCGGCGCGCGGTGCGCGAGGTACGCGAACAGCAGCGCGGGCGCGGTGAGCAGGAGCGCGTACGCGCGGCGGGCGAGCAGCGCGTCGAGAGCCTAGAATCCGCGTCAGCATCCGTTCGTAGGGACGCAGAGCCCCGCACCTCCGCAACGCCCCCGCCAAACTCAAACGCCCGCGCCCCGAACGCCCCGAGCGCCCGGACGAGGAACGGCGCGTCCTCCGCCGCGGCCGCCGCGCCCAGCACCTCCGCCGCGAGCGCGCGCCCATATGTGCTGATCCGCGCCGCGGCGGCAGCGGGGGTGAGCTTGGCCGCCGGATCCCCTCCCTCGCCCTCGCCCTCGCCCTCGCCCTTCCCCTCTTCCCCGGCCACAGCATCCTCCTCGCCGACGAGCGCACCCAGCACCGCACACACGAGCGGCGCGTCCCCGCGCACGGCCCACCCCCCGCGCACGCACGCGCCCAGCGCACCGAGGCCCGCGTCGAGGAGGTCTGCCACGCCCTCGTTAGTTTCGCTAGGGCGGACGGACGAAGGGAAGACGCACCGCCCCCGACGGCCCCCGCGCCGCCCAGCGCGTGCCGCAGCAGCCCCGCCGCGCGCCGCGCCTCGATGTGCAGCAGCGGCGCCGGGCGCTCCTTCCGCGGGCCCCTCTCCTTCTCCTTGTCCGTCTCCCCCGGCTCCCCCTCTTCATCTTCATCTTTCTCTTTCCCCCCATCCCCACGCCCCTCTATCCGCCCACCCGCCTCTCCCCCCGGCCCCGCAGCCAACGCCCCCCACACCCGCCCCACCTCGCGCGCCACCAGCGCCGCGCCCGCCGCGCCCGCCGTCTCCGCCGCGAGCCGCGCGCGCCCGCGTCTCGCCTCTGTCTCTGTCTCTGTATCTGTATCTTCCCCCCTCCCCCTCCTCCCTCTCCCCCGGCCCCACCACGCGAAAGCCCGGCCCGCCCCCGCCGCACAACAAACACCGCGCACTCGAGCAGCGCGCCCACGAACGCCGCGCCCGCCCGCGCGCGCGCCGCGGGCAGCGCCGTCGCCAGCGCCGGGGCCGGCGCGGCCGCTCCGCTTCCGGGGTCGGGCGCCCCAGAGGAGGGAGAGGGAGAGCCCGGCGGGCCCCCGAGCGCAGCCCAGAACGCGGCGAAGAGCGTGTGCGTCGGCGCGAGCAGCTGCAAGTGGAGTGGTTAGCACCGCCGTGGTACTCGAAATGCAGAACGAAGGAAAGGAAAGAGGGAAAGAAGGAAAGAAGGAAAGAGGGAAGGGAGAAGGGAAGAGGGAACGCACCTCCGCGGGCACACTCGCGACCACGACGACCACGCTCGGGTACGCGCTCGCGGGCGCGCCGCCGCACGCGCGCGCGAGGAAGTCGGCTAGGAAGGAGGCGTAGTGGGAGTGGGAGTGGGGTTGGGAGCTGGAGTTTGAGGTTGAGGCGGAGGGAGAGGGAGAGGGAGAGGGCGCGAGGAGCCAGGGGTGCGGTGTGTCTGGGAGGGGGAGGTTAGTTTGGTGTTGAATCCGGAAGGAGGGGAGAGCGGAAGGGAGAGGGGGAGAAATGTGAAGGAGGGGAGGGACGGAGAAGGGAGAAATGTAGGGAGGTAGAGAGTGAGGTGACGGAGGACAGCGAATGTAAAGCAAGGAAGGGCGAAAAGAGCGAAGCATCAGAATTCCAAAGGAAAGGAAAGGAAAATCCGCGAACGGTCGACGTGATGAGGTCGGAAAGAGGCGAAATGAAAATAAGAAAAGGAAGGAACGGAGCGAAAGAAAACAGAACGCAAAAACGCACCCCGCAAAACACCCAACACCCCCGGCCACATCGCGCCCTGCACGCCCCCGTCCGCCTCGCGCCACGCCGCCCCCAGCGCCGCGCGCGCCAGCGTGCCCTGTATACTCGTTATATCCACAGCCTCGCCTTCGTCGGCGGGAGCAGTCGTGATTAAATCGGAATTTGCAGAAGAGGAGGCGGCAGCCAGCGCGGCGAGCACAGCGGGCACACACGCCCACGCCGCGCGGCGCAGCACGGGCTGGGCGTGGCCGAGGGGCTCTTCTGCCTCTCCTCCTGCTCCCTGTTCTGCACTGTCATCCCCGCCCTCGCCTTCCTCGTCGTCCGAGTCGTCGGCGCCGCGCGGGGTAGCGGAGGAAGAAGCTGGAAGGGAAGAGGCGGGCGCCGAATCGCACAACGCGCTCCACAGCCGCGGGCTCGCGAGCCACGGGGGGAGCGCCGCCGACGCGGTCCAGGGCGTGTTTTCTATCAAAAAAATCGATCAGCACCGACTCGAGTATAAAACGCAGGGAAAGACACATGGACTAAGGAAGGAACGGAGACAAAACGCACCAAGCATCCACCGCAGCGCCCCAAACGCCGCGATCCGCACGCGCGCGCACCGGTCGCCCTCGCTCTCGAGCTCCTCCCGATCGTCCTTGCTCCGCGGGGACTCGGGCGCGGGCTCCACGCGCCCCGTGGGGCGTGCCGCCGCCCGTCCCTTATTATTATTACCGCCTTTCGGGTGCGGCGGCGCCGCGACTACAGGCGGATTCAGCGCCCGGTCGAGCGCGTCGGGGTCGAGCAGCACCTGCTCCAGGAAGGGGGCAAGGACGGCGGGGGGCGTGGGCATGCGCGCAGAGGCGGCAGCGGTGGCGACGGTGCGGTCGGGGTCGTGTGCGGCGAGGGCCCACGTCCCGAGGACGTTTGCGGAGCACTCGTCCGGGGAGAGGGGAGAGGTGGAGAGGGCGGGGATGCGGAGGAGGGTGGCGTGGAGGGACGCGGTGAGGGCGCGGATGCGACGGTCAGGGTGGAGGAGGTGCGCGGGGAGGTGGTGCAGCCAGACAGGGGCCATCAGCAGGAGCGTCTCGTCGCCGTCCTCGTACTCCTCCTCCCGTGCCACCCGCGGCCCCACCCACCCGCCCATCAGCTCCTCCAGCGCCCGTGCCTTGGTCACCACCGCCTTCTTCCCCAGGCTCCGCAGCACGACGAGCAGGTCGGGCGGCAGCCGGTGCGCGAGGCCGTGCTCGTCGAGCGGGTCGCGCGTCGCGGGCGCGGGCTTGGAGGGGGCGACGTACGCCTTGGCGCGCGGGGGGTCCGAGCGGTGCTTCTTGGTCTTCTTCTCGCCCCGTTGCGGGGGCCGCGCGGGCTCGGCCTCGACGGGCCCCGCTGCTTTGCGCGCGTGCTTCTTGCGCGTGCCGGCGGAGGCGGACGATTTCGGCGCCATGTTGCTCTGAGCTCCGTAGTTCAAATGTTGCGCGCAGGCACCGTGCGCTGTGGCAATCGTCCAAGTCGCGATTCTTCCTCCGATTCAAACCGATTCGTAAGACCTCTATTCGAGGAGATCCGAACGCAGAGGAAGACGTGAAAAAGCGCGAATTAGAAAGCGACTGACAAGCTTTGCCCCCGAAATAAACCGCGCATAACATGACCCCCGTTCGATCCCGGGTCAGGTCATAAACGCGATGTAAGGCTGTTTTTTTCCTCTTCTGGAGTTCAACGTGGACAGCGCTAGCGTACGCCAGTATCTACGTCTAGTAGTATTTACTATTTTCGGTCAACCAAGATGTTTCTGGCTTCATGGCTCTTCATGCTCTCAGAAGATTCCGCTTTGTTGATCCTCATCCAAGTTGCCATCGACCCTACTCCACCTCAAGGTGAGCAGAAGCATCAAGGCCTGGTAGCACAGTGGTAGTGCTCCTGCTGTAGTTGGATTGACATTCCAATCTTGGCAGGGCGTCCCGGTTCAATCCCGGGTCAGGTCATAAGACTTGTCCAAAGTATTTTCCCTTTTTGGAGTTCAACGTGATTCCCAATAGCGGACAGCGCTAGCGTAATAGCACGTCAGGATCTACACGGCTTTATTAACCATCCGCGATTCCTCTTTCTAGATCTTTTCCGTCTCCCCTCTCCCTCCCTCACACCTCCTTCCTAAATTCAATTTATTCCTACTCAAAGGCCTGATAGCACAAGCTCGCCCCTCGCGAGTCATGATCAAGCTAAATTCAGAAGATCCTGGTTTGACTCCGCGTCGGACCATAGCATTCTGTCATTTTTTCCTTCTGCTGACAAGTCAGGAAAAGCTCATGCTTCAAGTCGAATCACGCCATGCGATAATCATGTATTTCAGTTATTTCGAGAGTAGCCAAAGCTGAGGAAGGATTGGTAGCACAATGGTTAGTGCAGCTTCTCAATGTGATGTCTGGATGCAATTGAGCAGAGGTTCCCGGTTCGAATCCGGGTTAGGCCATCGCCTCTTCCAACTTGTATTTTTCCGAAAAAGTAGAAATCCAATTCGATTTTTTCGTCCCACCCCCCGGATTGAAGGTACAGTACGTCCATGCCCATGCACGAACCCTGTTCACGCAGTGGAATGATCAAGGGATTCAATCATTCAGAGTTTATTTTTGCTGACAAGTCAGGAAGAGCTTCAAGTCGAAATCATGCCAGGTAGTTCGAGAGTAACCAAAGCTTAGGAAGGCTTGGTTGCACAGTGGTTAGTGCTACTGCTTAAAGTGTAACTGCACTTAGGAAAAGGTACCCGGTTCGAATCCGGGTTAGGCCATCGCCTCTTCCAACTTGTATTTTTCGGAAAAAGTAGAAATCCAATTCGATTTTTTCGTCCCCACCCCCCGGATTGAAGGTACAGTACGTCCATGCACATCACGAACGCTGTTCACGCAGCGGAATGATCAAGGGATTCAATCATTCAAAGTTTATTTTTGCTGACAAGTCAGAAGTCGAAATCACGCCATGAGATGTATTTCAGTTAGTTCGTGAGTAACTACAAATGGGGAAGGCCTGGTAGCACAATGGTTAGTGCAGCTGCTCAATGTGATGTCTCAATGTGATTGAGCAGAGGTTCCCGGTTCGAATCCGGGTCAGGTCATATACAATATGATTTCTGCCAATTTTTTCTTCTCCAAAGAAGTAGAAACCCAATTTGATAACCCAGACGTTCCGATGTGACATGGGCTCAGGTAAAAAATGATGGACACCAATCACACCAGAACGTCTAGGGCTATCGGTATACTGTTACCCCTGGTGTCATACCCTGGGCTGTCACGCAAACCTCAATACCGTGTACTGTGGGCCTTATAACACTCCAAGAATGCCTGAAATCACTTAGAATTAGTTGGAATATGTATCAGGCAGAATTCCAATTTTTCCCTGCATGAAAAGAGCTCAAACTGAGTTCAAATGACTTGAGCTGCCCCAAGAACATGGCAGTTTTTGACCGTCCATAGCGGGCCAGAAAAGCATGTAAAAAAATCCGGAAAAATAGGACAGGCCATTGGAGGATGTCCGAAAGTCGGTTGAACCAGCTGTCCAGGTACAAGGGAAGGGTGGGAAGGGAGGAAAGGCTTGTGACGCCATGGGGGGTAAAGGCCGCCAAATGCCCCAGACGTTCTGGTAGCCATTCCGTCCATCATTTTAGCCAAAATTTGTGTGGCATGGATCATGCGGGCTGGGATGGCTACCGAACGTCTGGGTCACCGAGACAAGGTACGTCCATGCATATCACAAACAGCTGAATGATCAAAGGATTCAATCATTCAAAGTTCATTCCACCTCACAGCTGCAATTGGCAAGCTCTACTTGGAGAGTAACCCAAACCAGACCAAGGACGATCTGGTAGCACAATGACATGCAGCTGCTCAAATTTCGTTGCACATGTTCTTTCGGAGGTGATCCCGGTTCGAATCCGGGTCAGGTCATACAGTGGGAACATCTTCCTTTTTTTCTGCAAAGAACTTGAACCCGAAATCTGGTTGGCTTTTCTGGTTCATCTCCCACAAGTCTTGTTGGAATTGATGCTATCTCGGGCATCTCGGGCAAGCCGCCAGTGCATTCATGTGCTGTGCGGAACCTTGTAGAACTACGTGGAACTATTTAGTATTCTGTAGAATAGTGTGGAACATCCATATGACTCCTTCTATGACTCACAAGGCTGTTCCCTAGTAGTATTTAAGTCACTGTAATTCGTACTATGAATCTAACTTATTTTGCTCCCAACCATCATGTGCGTGAAGTCGGACGTCTCACCGCGTCCAAACCCCATACTCAATTAATCTGCGCCAACAAGTCTATGTTACATACGTGGTAACACACCGGTTAGAAGTCCATCCCATCTGAAATGAAATTCAATCAGTATGCTTTATCATGAGAATAACCCAAACAGACAACCTGATAGCACAATGAATAGTGCAGCTACTTAAATTATGATATGTGGGAGGTTTTTCGTAGACAACCCCGGGTCACGTCATGTCTTCTTCACATCCATTTTTGCTTTTTTCTTTGAAACTCAACCAATTCCCAACAGCACACCGGGGTATCAGCAACATTCGACAATTCCAAGCCAGATTTAACCTTCCTCACATCCTCTTTCTCTCCCCTTCTCTCTTCTTCACCTCTTCCTCACCTACCACTACAACACCACTCAAGCTACATGCTAACCCCAGCCTGATAGCACAAGCCCGTGCACCTGCTCCTCGTAAGTCATGATCATAGTTAAATTACGCAGCGGCAGAGGATCCTGGTTCAAATCCGGGTCAGACGATAGCATTGAACTCTCCACTTTTTTCTTCTCCAAAGAAGTCAAAATCCAATTCGATTTTTTCGTCCCCACTCCCGCGGATTGAAGGTACGTCCATGAAATATCACTTTTCAAGCAGCTGAATGATCAAGGGATTCAATCATTCAAAGTTCATTCCACCCCACAGCTGCAATGGAATTCAGTTGGCAAGCTCTGCTTCGAGAGTAATTCAAGATTTAAGCCAAGGAGACCTGGTAGCACAATGAATAGTGCTGCTGCTGAAATTTCAACCGGCATGTGTGGCTCTTTCGCAGGTGATCCTGGTTCGAATCCGTACAGTACTTAATTTTTTTTTTGTCTTTTTCCCTTCTATGACAGAGCAACCTCTCCTTCTTGCTATGATCATGATCTCCCTTCTGCACCATGGCTATCTATACGTGTCTTGCACAACTGTTGCAAGTAATCCAATCCACTTGTGGCCGAATATCAATTCTCAGGTGCATCGGTGTCAGTTGAACCTGCACCCCACCCCTCCCCCTCCTGTCTGGCTGGAGGGACAAAGAGTGATTTATGAAGCTCATCTATAAAGAGGGGAAGACCTGATAGCATGATGAAGTGTGGCTCCTTACAGTTCGTACAACTCTCACGACATTCTACGAGATCCTGGTTCGAATCCGGGTCAGGTCATTATCATCCACATTATTTTATTTTATTTGTCTTTTTCCTTGCACGACAATGCAACCTCACCCTCTCGCTTCTCTGGTATCTTCCTGTTCCTTGATATCTTTTGTTCATTCCCCTTGTCATGAAAACCTGCAGCCACGCTGGGTCATATATTCATTCCATCATGAATCCTCGCAGTCCCAGCGCTAAGAGTGCTTAGGTTTGCCCTTCAATCGAACACACATATGGCTCATCGAAATGAAGAGGGAAGACCTGGTAGCATAATGAATAGTACAGCTGCTTCTGGTGATATCTCGTCATTGGAGTTGAGCAAAGGATCCTGGTTCGAATCCAGGTCAGGTCATCATCACCAAATCTTGTTTCTCATTACAACCTTTTCTTTCTTTTCTTTTTCCTTCCACAATGGAGCAACCTCCCTCTTTCTCTGATCTATCCTAATGTTTCTTCCTTTCTCCCTTCTCCCTCACCCTCCTTCCTAAATAAACTCCTACTACATCCCTACTCAATGGCCTGATAGCACAAGCCCCTTGCAGATCATGATCATAGTCAACTTGAGCAGAGGATCCTGGTTCGAATCCAGGCCGGGCCATAATGCATGATAAACATTCGATGATTTTGTCAGGAAGAAGTCAAAATCCTAATTCAATTGGCAATTGGCATAAGTTAGCTCAAGAGTAATTCAAGTCGAGGAAGACCTGGTAGCACAATGAATAGTGCAGCTGCTTGAATTTCATGGCGGGTAAAAGATGTTTCGCAGCAGATCCTGGTTCGAAGACGGGTCAGGTCATAATCTGCCCAGATGCATCTTTTTGATTTTTTTTCATCTTTTTTCTTTCCATGACGAAAAGCCTCTCCATCTCATGATCATGACTACCCCAACGGTGCCTTTTATACCAGAGCTATACCTGTCTTGCACCAATGTTGCAAGTAATCCAATTGACTCGTGGTCCGACGTCATCGCTGTCAGTTGAACCCACATTGGTGCTTGAAAACTGTCGTCACGACCACGGATTCATCCTCGGAGCCTGGTTCAAAATGCCCGCTCAAGTCCATGCGGGATCAATTTCCACGATACACGGCTGAAAATGAATCTACATGATACGGCCCAGTCTGGCAGGAGGGAGACAGTATAATTTATGAAGCTCATCTAAAGAGGGGAAGACCTGATAGCATGATGAAGTGCGGCTCCTTATAGTTCATCCAACTCTCACAACATTCTGCGGCAGATCCTGGTTCGAATCCGGGTCAGGTCATTATGTGGGCGGCCTGGGATCCGCTTTATTTTATTCTATTTGTCTTTGTTCCTTGCACGACGAAGCAACCTCTCCCTTGGCTCCTCTGGTTCCTCTTCCTTGATATCTTTTGTTCGTTCCCCTCGTTGTGAAAACCTGCAACCATGCTGGGTCATATATTCATTCCATCTGTTATATCCATGCAGCATACCCAGCCCTCTAGTCGACCTTCCGGTAGTTCCGGTAGGTTCTGAGGCTCCGGTAATATACCGGAGCCTCTGGGCCATCCGGTATCATCGGGTTTTTACGCAATGAAGGATTACTGAGTGTTTCCCGTTTATCCGCTTTTCCGTCTTTCCACTTATTGTCCTATAACTTAACATCAGTCCTCCTGACTTGTCTTATTGTTAAGAATCACCCTCCTTCCTTTTATGGAAAACAATTAGTTACTTAGTATAAATCCGTCTTTAGTATGTCTTGTACGTCAGTTTGATTATTAACGTTGCTTGGCTTGTCTCCTTGCACTGAGTCGTCTCCGTACTCCTCGTTCACTTCCGGTACTCCGACTTCCGGAATACCTGCCGGTCAGGATAGTCGCTCACCCTTGACCCCCTGTGGTGTTGCAATCCCTCCTTATACCATTCCGGACCATTCTCGGGCCCTCCGGTCTTTCGGAACCTCCGGCCTTCCGGAGCCTCCGGTCCTCAGGCATCCTAGGTCCAACCGGCTTGGTATATAACACCATCCGCAAAGAGTCCCAGCGCTAAGAGTGCTTAGGTTTGCCCCTTCAATTGAACACAGATAGAGCTCGTCGAAATGAAGAGGGGAGGACCTGATAGCATAATGAAGTGCAGCTGCTTACAGTCGTCCAACTCCATGACATTCTGCGGCAGATGATGTAAGGGCAACCTCGAGGCCCGAGGATACTCAAGAGTCCTAGCGAGGGAGATCCAAAGTATATGAATAAGTACACAATGATACAGGAAAGTATAGCGCACCTAGCGAGGGAGATCCAAAGAGAAGAAACTCTGAGGATTCCCACGCCAGAGCGGAGTCTAAATAGCTACTGTACAGAGACATGTGACCGGAGCGATCGGCAGAGATCCTGGGCTTGATCACAGGCATGGTGCCATCGGGAGATACCAGAGGGGCGTCAGTGGGGGGTTCCCCTGACATCACCCCCCCTTGGAATGCGGCGCCTCGACGCATAGACCAGACATGGAGGGTAGGGTCGTGGAAGGGGAGAGAGTCGAAGGTGGCAACAGAGATGGAGCGCGGAGCAGTCAGATGTGTTCGATAGTACTCTGCGACAGCTTCTGGAGCGAAGACGTCAGAGTGTTTGACCCACTGGTTATGCGAAACATCATACCCTTTGAAGGACACCATGTAATACAGTGACTTCCAGCGGATCTTAGCATCCAAAATCTTGTCGATCTCCCATTCTGGAGCGTCCCCGGGCACCTCTGGTAGAACCAGAGCAGGCTCATCGTAGCCCGGATGTCCCGGGAAGGGGTCGTCTTCTGCGAGTTCCAACTTCACCACTGGAAAGACTGGGTGAAGCCGGGAGAGACGGGGGGGCAGCTCCAGCTTGTAAGCACCTCAACCGACAACCTTAACCACCTTGAAGGGGCCAAGGCGCCGGTGCGAGAGACCCTGCGACGGACGGGTGGTCTGGATGTCTGATGCGTCAAGCCAGACACGGTCACCAACCTTGATGTCCGGAGCTGGGGTGCGCCTGTGGTCGTAGTACCGCTTGTACTCCTCCTTAGCCTTCACTAGTGCGGCTCGGGCTTCAGAGACGCCAGAGGCGATCCGGTCGCGGAATTCGTTTGCTGACTCCACCTTCGAGTGTACTCTGGTCGGCTCAAACCCCATCCGGGGGAGCCGCCCAGTGTCGGTCATGAACGGGACCTGCTGCGTCGAAGAGTGGATGTGGTTGTTGTAGGCAAACTCTGCGGCCGGCAAGAGGTAGTCCCAGTCGTCCTGCTTATAATTGGTGAATATACGCAGGAACTGTTCCATCTCTTGGTTAACGCACTCGGTCTGCCCGTCAGTCTGCGGATGGTACGCAGTGGAGGTTGCCGGAGTGATTCCAATGAGGCGCCAAAGCTCTGTGGTGAACTCCGCGATGAACTGTGGACCACGGTCAGAGATGTACTTCTCTGGTGTACCATGGTGCCTCCAGACGTTCCGGTAATACAACCGGGCAGCCCCGATGGCGCTGATGTGGGTAGTGCACTCGTTGAAGTGAGCACGCTTACCGAGAACATCGACCACGACCATGATGGCATCGTAGCCATGCGCCTCTGGGAGCTCCACAACAAAGTCTACCGAAACTGTGTGCCAGCGCTCTGGAGGAATCTCCGTTGGGTGCAGCTCTCCAACCGGAAGCTTCCGGAGCGCCTTGGTGCGGCAGCACAGGTCGCAGGTCGCCACATACCGGCCGACATGTCGAGACAACTGGGGCCACCAGTAGTTCCGGGAGACAAGCTCCAATGTCTTGAAGCGACCGGCATGACCGGCAATCTGGGTGTCGTGGTGCTGCTCCAGAATCCGGCGACGAAGGTCGTTGTCTCGAGGGACAACAAGCTTGCCACGGAAATAGAGGAGACCGGAGGAGACGTGCCACTCAGCGCTCCGGGAGGAGCGAGCACCCCGAACCTTGAGAAGTTCCCGGGCCACGAGAGCGACGGGGTCTTCAAGGTCTGGTTTGCCAGCGAGAGCTTCTCGGATGTCGTGGAGGATTGCAACCTCTGGACCAGAGACAGCAAGGCCTTCGATTGCATGGAGGTGGAAGAGCTGCGGACTCAGGAGGGTGACGTCCTGGTTGTCCGGAGCTGACCCATGGTCTGGCCGCCGAGAGAGGGCGTCTGGACGTCCCATAAGCTTTCCGGGCTTGTGATGAAGCGTGAAGTCGAACCGAGACAGGTACAGCGACCACCGTGCCTGTCTTCGGTTGAGGTTTTGCGACTTCCGGAAGTACTCCAAGTTCTTGTGGTCAGTCCAGATCTCAACCGGATGCTGCGAGCCCTCGAGGAAGTGTCGCCACTCCTCGAGCACTCGGACGATTGCGAGCATCTCCTTGTCGTGGATCTCGTAGTTGCGCTGGACCGGTGACAAGCTCTTGGAGAAGAACGCCACAGGGTGCCACTTTCCATCAGAGCCTTCTTGCGAGAGAACGGCTCCTGAGGCAAAGTCGGAGCTATCTGCCTCTAGTCGGTACATCCGGGACTCGTCTGGAAGGATGAGGACGGGGTCAGAGGTGACTGCATCTTTGAGAGCTTGGAAGGCGACGGCCTCAACGGCAGTCCAAGCCCATACCTTGCCCTTCGCCATGAGGTCAAAGAGTGGCCGGGCAATATCAGAGAAACCACGGATGAACCTGCGATAGAAGTTTGTGAAGCCGACGAACTGCTGCACATCCTTCTTGTTCTCTGGAGTAGGCCATGCGGCGACCCCAGCGACCTTGACTGGGTCCATCTCGACGTGGTTGTGTGAGATGATGACACCGAGGTACTCAATTGATGATTTCTCAAACTCGCACTTCTCCGGGCGCAAGTACAGCTTGTGCTCCCGAAGCCGCCGGAGCACCTCCCGGACGGTCTCGCGATGCCGGGTAAGGTCTGAGTGGGCAATGAGAATATTGTCGAGGTATACCATGATGTCTCCGGACATGATGAGATCCTGGAAGATGTGATTCATCATGGTCTGGAAGGTCGCGGGGGAGTTCGTCAAGCCGAAGTACATCACCAGGGGTTCAAAGAGTCCCCGGTTAGTCCGGAATGCGGCCTTCCACTCATCGCCCTTTCGGATCCGGACGTTGTTGAAACCCCACCGAATGTCGAGTTTTGTGAAGAACCGGGCGCCTTTCAAATGATTGATGAGTTCGTTGATCAGCGGAAGGGGGTACCGGTTCTTCACGGTCATTGCATTCAACGCCCGGTAGTCCTGAACGAACCGGAGACCTCCGTCCTTCTTCTTGACGAAGAAGACCGGAGATGCCATCGGAGATTTTGATGGCCGTATCCGGCCGGTCGCAAGGCCCTCCTCAATGAACGCGTCGAGCTCGCGCTGCTCGAGGGGTGAGATCGGGTAGACCTTACAGTTGGCA